CAAGGTGGTGACGTCATGTGATCTCCATTCAACAAGGCAAGCATAGAATAATCTAGTTTCACGTGGTGCCTAGAATGTCCTTTTCACCCTTTGCTTGTCCTTTTCCATCCTGCCTGGTCTTCTGATTCCACCGCAGTCTGGCCTCGAGTGGAAAAATGAGTCAGTTGACTCTAGCGAGGAATGTGCAAAAAAAATGCAAACAATCAACTGCAATTACAAAAAGTCATAAAGTCATAAATATCAAATATTATATACCTGAGAAGGGGGGGAACGAAAGCCAGCAGCCGCCAGACGAGAGGGTCATTTGCTACATAGCAAAAGGTTCGGGAGAAGGTCGCGGGGCAGGTCCATGAGGAGGTTCTGGAGAAGGTTCCGGAGCAGGTTCCAAAGCAGACAAGGCTCCAGAGGAGGGCTTGGACAGCGAAGAGACTGTCTCAGTGGCGCTTCTTGCTGTTGGGGACTTTCTTTGGGCTTATGCCACTGATCCGCCCAAAAATTAATCATACGTCGCAGCTACACCCTCTTCCCAGACCAAGTTGCTATCTACATGGGCCCCTGTTCTGATAGTGACTTGCCGCTGCCAACCAACAACCATACTTGCGCCAATACATACAACATCATACAACCAGTATCTATCTATCTATGTATCTATCTATGTATTAGTCTATCTATCTATCTATCTATGATCTATCGATCTATCTATCTATTCTGTATCTATCTAGCTGCGCGGCACAACGCTCGGTGCACGTGGACGCCGCGAGAAGCATCCGCTCGACGGTACACGTATAGTAGAGACTAGGATGGTTGCTCTGTACATGGGTGCCTGTGTCTCCACTCCAGTGCTCAATGCCCATTGTCCAAATAGCCTCCACAGCCCTCGTGATGCTAATGATGCACTACTCGCCGTCCATTGCATCACTCGCATCACCAGACCCTATTTTCACTGCTGTTCTGACCCTCGCTTTGGAGCGCTCTCCCCAGGCAAGCTCCGGGTTCCTGCTGGCTTTCGTAACAAATAAAAATCTCGCACACACGCATAGACTATCATTATATATATATATATATATAAACACTTACGGCATATCAACATATATTACATAAATTGTCCAAAACCAATGCCTCGTGATCGCCTCCTGTGACGCATTTTGTAGCGCTCTTTCTGAGCAGCCTTCGAGCTTCAGAGCCATGTCGTCCACCAGTTGCGCGCTGATGCCAGGCCAGTGAGCTGCGGGACATTTCAAGGCCTAGCGCAGCAAAAGCTTTGAGCAAAACTTTGAGCAAAGCTTTCATAAGCACATTTATATACATTCATGCTCATCTTGATGCAAACATCCCTCTTTTGGGGGACAGATTCTTGCGGAAATGGCATCCACTTCTCACCTCGAGGAAGGACTTGAAGTTCACTTCGGCTTCAGTGACGTCCTCGAGTAGCAAGTGTCAGAGTTCAGGATTTGCTTCATGACCAGGCACGGCGTGAAATCTAATGTAACAAAGGGCATCGCTACTAAGCTACTAGGAGCAAGAAGCTAGTAGGTTGGAGGCCATCGCTAGTAATTTCAGGCTTGACACCGTCTCGGTCCTGGTCAACAGCTTGTGCTCTTCGCTCTTCGTCTTCCTAGACTTGCCTATTTCAAGCCTGAAAGGACGCTACTAGGGGCTGGCCTTATTACTAGGAGCAAGAAGCTACTAAGTAGCCTTTCAAAGGAGCTATTCAAGCCCCTTGTACTCATTGATGTCCAGTGTGGTTCCAACCCTAACCTCTGCGGCTCCTCAGTGTAAGGCCACTGGAAGGGAATCTGCAAAGTCACCCAAGTCAGCACAGCTTCAGAGTCAGCCTGGAGAGGATGCCACAAATGCCACGCAGCACTGTTTGCTGGGATGACGAAAAGCACCAATTTGCCACGGGTTGATGCAGGAGGTGATAGCTTTCAAGTCCCACCTATATGTTTCTATTGGGATCTTCGCAAAGTGCGCCGAGAAATTAGGAGAACGACAGTGACAGAACCCGTGCCTGACTCCGCGTGTTTCTCTCCTTCAACCTTGGGTGCCCCTAGATGTGCTTAGGTCCCTAATTAGGCCTACTACTTCCCTCATGCTAGGATTTCATCATGAATCGTCAAGACTCGAGGCCTGGCCCAGGCCTCGCGATTTAACTCTGTTTTTGAACTCCAAGCCTTAAGAAAATTCGACGCCGATAGCAAACCCGCGCCGTCACGCTGTCAAACTCAGACCCTTAGCCTAGTGGTTTGATGCTCATACCGGGCTGAGTAATAACCGCTCATACCGGGCTGTTCAGCTCAACCAGTCTGACCAATTCCCCAAACGCCCAAGGCAAGTCACCTCCGTTGACGTCGGTAGTGGGCCTTGGGGCTCTTCTAGGCTCAAAGCCTCGAAGAGCCATGCATTGAAGGCCTGCACATCCATCTATTTAAACAAAACATATATAAAATTGATCAAGAGAAAACTGAAAAAAAAGGTATAGTAAAGGAGGAGTAAAGGACATATAGCACACTCCCAGCTAGAAAGCAAACAAAGAAGAAGAAAAGAAGCAGGTTTGACAATGACAGGGGGATTAGTTTTGATTGGTGCGTTTGTCATTGTCTCGTGCAGGTGAAATCGTGTGACATCATCATGTGACCATCAGTGGACGAAAAGCGTCAAACCTTTTGCGCGGCCTCTGCCGGTTGCTTGTGCCCCCAACAGCTGCGCCAAAGTTGGCCGAATTCCTTCCTTGGAGCGGATCCCTTGAGCAAGGATGGCCTGTGGTGACATCTACCTCATCCACCCCCATACATCATCCTCCGGACAAGAAGTGTTTTTAGGTCTTGAACTGCAAATTTCATTTGGTCCCTTTAGTAGCTTCATGTACGTACTTTCATGTGTTCTTTCATGTGGCTTCTGCAGTTCGTATACTAGGAACAAGAAGCTACTAGGAACAAGTGCATCGCTTCTAGTAA